AAAATTATCTTAAGGTTGCTGCTTCAAACCTAGGAATCCTGGTAGTAATAGCTGGCTTCAAGTAGAACTATTTACCACAGAGTCAGCACTTCAAGCCCACCAGGCTCTCTGAGGGAGAAAGATGAGTTGGAAGAACTGTACAAGGGTCCGTCACGGAGCTCACTCCTGTAAAGATTCAGAGCATTGGAAACCCACAGTAGCAGTTCTTCTGTGCTCTATAGGGTTGCTGTGAGTTGGATTCAACATGATGTTCATGACTTTTGGTTCTGTTCAAACCTACAGTTGGAGAAGAAGAAAATGAGGCTGTGCCCATAAAGATTAGGTTGCTTTGAATCAGAATTGCCTTGATGGCAGTTGGTTTGGTTTGGGTTGGTATTGAGTATATTAAATATACCTAGGATTCCTTGTAAAGGTCATCATTTCTATAGATTTCAAAACAAACTCACTGCCGTTGAGTCACTACTGACTCAGCAATTCCACAGGACAGGGTAGAACTGCCTCAGTGCTCAGTTTCCAAGACTGTTACCTGGAACAGAAAAACCTATTTTTCTCCATCAGAGCTCCTGTGGTGGTTTTGAACTGCCCACCTTGTGAGTGGCTGCCCAACTCATAACCACTATACAACCAGGGCTCCCTTTATAGATTAAAGGAGATTTTATATAGTTGTTGTTAGGTGCTATCATGTAGATTCCGACTAATAGCAACGCTCTGTACAGCAGAACAAAACACTGCCACATCCTGTGCCATCCCAATCTTTTATGTTCAAGCCCATTATTGGAGTCCCCGTGTCAGTCCATCTCCTTGAGGCCTTCCTTTCTCTGCCCCTCTGCTTCACTAAGCATGATGTCCTTCTCCAGCGGTTAGTCTGTGCTCATGACATGACCACAGTGCACGAGACAGTCTCTCCAGTCTTGCTTCTATGGGGCATTCTGGCAGTGTGTCTTCCAAGACAGATTTGTTTGGATCAGCACAAAAATTCTAATGGAATTAATTGTTCAAACATAAAATACGTCCTAGAAAAGGCTGCCAGTCACCTGAGTTCAAATGATCATAAGATTTGGCAGTTTTTCAGATGTAACTATAAGCATCATAAAAAGGGAGAAATCTAGAATGGGTAACTTTTAGTCTACAGAAGACCCATGAACAATGAGAAGTAAAATTATTATAATACTCTTGATTTAATCCTTTTATTTTGAACTATCATAATTGGAAGAATCTTCTCAAAAAACAAGCCCTCT